GAAGGAAGTGGGTTTTATCCCATGTGTCCTGTTTTGTCTTTGTACTTCACTTGGTATCATGGGTTCATAATATTTCCAGGAGAGCATTAAGCAGACAAACAGCTGTACAATAACAAACAGCTGCTGTGCCTTTTTTGTCTCCTCCCTGAGGGAGATGCGTATAGCAGGGCAGCTTGTTTTGGGAAGTACATCTAAAATAAAACAACGACAAAAAAAAAAAATCACATAAAGGAGGTAAGTCATCTTTGAGAGGTCAACATAAGCACGTGGCACATGCATGTACAAGGTAAGGTCAAAACTGTGCCACATGCTTGGAGCGGAAAGCAGAGAGGCAGACACCAGTCTGGAGAGAGCTCTTCATCCTGAGCTGCACTGTAGAAAGTCTCTGTGCTGAAGGATGAAAGCTGCTTGCTCAAGGCTTCAGGCTGAAGTTCTCACCAGCCTCTAGGACAAATTGGGGGGGGGAAATACAGGGGGATTCCACTTCTTACTGAAACAAGGTTGACAGGGGTTTTTGTATGTGGAACTGAAACGTTGCTTTTGCTTTCTTTGCCTCTGAGATGTAGCTCTCCAAAGCTTTCACATCCTGCCTACCTCAGGTGACAAAAACTTGCCTTAAACTTATAACTTCTTGCTTCCACTCCTTCTCTTCCTATTCTAGTCTTTCCTTTGATTACAACATCTGATTCTGTGACAGATGGTGTTGTGTGTACATCATAGCTCCATTTGTAAGAGGCGGCTGTTTTCTTAATTCTAACCAAATCTGCCAGGTAGCGTTTACAGAAGCTTAAAATTCTAGGCTGTGTAACTGCTTTGGATAAATCCTGGAATAGTTTGGAAGGGAGCTCTGAATGCAGCCTGGATTGGCCCTGCAACCTGCTCAAATCAGGGCCAAATTGGCTGCTCTGGGCCTTGTAGTTGCTGCTGACCTGCTGGCAGTAATTGTAATAATGAAAACATAATAAAAAATAAAAATCATGTATGATGATGTACCCTAACTAATGTTACTGTTAACCAGCAATTAAGGTATTGTACCCATATATTAAACTTTTATTTTGCTGGTATGGTCTGTTGTGTCCAATTGAGTGTGATTGTGAAAGTCAAATTGCTTTTGTCGTACACGTTCCTTTTGGGCATAGGAGTAGAAAAAAATTTTTCTGGTTCAACATCTTAATAAAATCTGAATGGGTGATCAGAGTTACTCTGTGTTGAGGTGCACTTTACATGGAGTTTTTTTAACATGCTTTTTTTTTTAAAAAAAAAAAAAAAAAAGGCAGGGGGAAGAAACCACCTGCTGAATGAGACCAGGCAGCTCTCATGTGCGATCCTGCAGTGCTTTGGCTACACGACAGCTCCATCTGCTGTTCCTGGGCTACAACTTTCCCTTTGTGCCTGAACCTCCCATTTCACAATTTCATAGTGGTTCATGTGCTTCTTCTCTCCGACTTCATACATATCTTCAGACAGCCCCTTACTCTTGGGAGGAGGCATTGCTTGGGATGTTCCTGACTTTCATTTTGCAGTCCTGGATTCTTCTAAGTTCTTTAAATGTCTTGGCACTAACTGGTAGCTGTGACATCCATTTGCTTTACAAACATGAGGCTTTCTTTGCTATTCATGTTATGTCTTATTCCTGCAAAGACAAGTTACTGCAAGGTAAGAAGCCCCATCATCTAGCAGTAAGAGTTTTTGCTGTTCAGTTGAGTAATAGGTACTTATGATTTTTGTGAAGAAGTCTGGACTTGTCTGTGCTGTCTGGGATTTTGCATGTGTCTGTGGTTTGACTTTTTATGAACGTAAGTGATGTGGTTTAACCTGGCTGGCAGCTGAACACCACACAGCCGCTCGCCAACCCTCCCCCCTCCCTCTCTGGAATGGGGGAGAAAAATGGGAAAGTGCAGCCTGTGAGTTGAGATAAAAACAGTTTAAGACAGGAAAATAATAATAATATCAATAATAGTACTACTAATAATGTACGTGAAACAAGTGATGCACAATGCAGTTGCTCACCACCTGCTGACCGATGCCCAGCCTAACCCCGAGCAGTCCAGCCCTCCTACCCTGGCTAGCCACCCCTATCTATTGTTTGTTTATTGTGTGTGTGTATATATATATTGTTTATATATTGTTTAGCATGACCTCTGATGGGATGGAATACCCCTTTGGCTAGTTTGGGTCAGCTGTCCTGGGTCTGTCCCCTCCCAGCTCTTGCTGCACCCCCAGCCTGCCCGTTGGCAGGACAGAGTGAGAAGCTGAAACGACCTTGGCTTGGTGTAAGCACTGCTCTGCAACAATTAAAACATCAGCATATTATCAGCACTCTTCATGAAAAGCCAAAACATAGCACCCTACCAGCTACTAGGAGGAAAACTAACTTTGTCCTAACTGAAACAGGACAGTAAGGCAGTTTACCTGTAGAGGCTATCCAAGTTTGATAGGTGGAGGGAAGGAGGAGAAAAAGGGACTGGAAATGAGTTGGTCTGCAGCATAGTTCAGAATCACGGTGGAGAATTGTGCTACTACAGTCACCATGGTCGCTAAAACTGGCAGAGGGAAGCTTTAGTTCCTGTACTTCTCTCCCTCTCATGACTGAGAGGCAGAATTCCTAAAGCACTGGGATTTCTTTCAGTTTTGTGGGAACAGACCAATGGGTTGCATCATAAGTAAACTGTTGTAAATCCTTTATGTACGGAGTATTATCTATCATTCCGGAAAACATTTCTATTTGAATATTACTATCTAGACCTTACAGTTTCTGTGGAATGAGAATGATGTGAAGGGCTTTTGAATCAGTTCTGCACAATAGCCCACTGGATAGCCTCAACCTGCCTCACCAAAGGTTGCTGATGTGTTCACCTATTGTAATTTTTCCCCCACTGTTTTTGTCTGTTGTGCACTAAGCTGTCTGCACTGAGAAGATTTTGGTATATAACTTCATAGGTCAGGAAAATTGAATGCTTTGTGCAGTCTCCTGCACTCTGGCTTCCTGCAGGAAAATAATCAAATTTCAATGTTAGATGTTTAATTTTTTTCCATAAAAGACAGATGGGGTACGTGTCTTATGTTGTTTTTCGCAACGATTTCTGACTAGCAGACTAACCAGAAAGGTTAAATAGGAAAAGATGCTTTCCCCTCTTGCAGACAGACATAGAACAAAAGATGCTTGAGTTGTACTTCCTAATAGTATTGGAGTTTAATAACTGCAGTATTTTTTTTAGCTCAGCCTTATCTAATCTCTCTTTAATTGGACCAAGGACTTTCATTTGTTCTGCCTTGCTACAAATCATTGTTGATACAGAAAGTGAACTTAAAAGGAACAGTAACATGCAAACGTAGAAGCAGCAGGTAAGTTATTTGTGTGAAATAAGCCTGGCATGTGTTGTCATTACTTGAATTCAGTGAAATAACCACCATATGCTTAAGTAGTGGGTTGTCCCACAAAGCAGAACTGTAGGACATAGCTTTATTTAGGTCCAGCACCAGACACTGGAGTGAGCTTATTCAGCATGAAGACCCTGTCTCATGTCAGGATTACAATGCACAGACCTTCAGCTGTTCAGTGAGCTACAGCACAGCTGCCCTCTCACTTCAGCAGCAAGTCTGATCCTTTGGTCCAAGAGTGAGTGAGCTTTGAGAGAGTTTGGTAAGACTTTGCAGCAGTGTGTATCTTAAGTTTCTGTACTCTGTCGCAAAGAATGCGTATATACGTGGTATGGATTAGCTGGATCCTGCAGGTCAGGAGTTGGGCTGTCTTTCCTGAGTTGCCAGGAGAAATCTGCCCAGCAGTTAGTTCACTGTGTTAGCAGCATGTGCTTCGATTTGCTCCTGGTCTGCTTCTTAACCTTAACTTGAAAGTATTTTCAAAACAGAATGTGGCAGGCTGGTTTCTGGATCATCTGAGAGGTTTGGCGGTTGTCTGTGTAAAAGCAGTTGGGTGAGCAGAGATGCTCAAGCCAGCAGATGGCAACAGCCTGACATCTGCAGGAAGCAGCACAAAAGGAAAAGGTGCTGCTTTGTGCTGATGGAAGTCAAAGTTGGGGAAGTACAGGTCATCTTCAGCTGATGGGTAAAAATAGTGGTGACTTGTGAATACATGGAAATTAGGCAGCATAGCTCTTGGGGAGGCTAGTCTATTGATTAAATGCTTGTGTGGGTGTTTTGGTTGCAGAATAAGAACCTGCTGGTGCAGGGAGCTAACTTGTAAAAGCTATTTTGATAAACTTTCCAGTACAGATGAATGCTTGGGGAAGAGTCAAGGGGGGTAGTGCATACGAAGCAATATGAATAAAACTGAAAAAACTGATCTTATGAATTGAGAATAAATTTCTAAGTCAAAACACAGTGTTAGCTTTATCGTCGCAAGTTGTGTGTATATATTCTTCCAGTGTTTCTAGGGCAGTAGAAAGAAGGAGAGTTGGAGAAGTGATGTGACTTACTGAAAATTCTAAGGAGAAAAGGAGAAGAACTTGAAAAAACTATCTGAAAAATCTGTCAATTATACATTATCTGCAGAGGATTAATGTTTTTCTAAGAATAATAAGGCACATTCTAACAGGAATATTTTTAAAATTCAGTCTTATGCTGAAAGGGGGAGGTTTTTTAAATAAATGGTAAGGTTATTAATGAATTTTCCTAAGACGTTCAACACTGCAGGACAGTGACTGTTTTTGCTTGTTAACTTTTATTAAGTTAGACTTTGATCTGTTATGATTTGTTTGTTCTCCTGAATGTATTTGGATATCATGTTAAGAATGATACTATAAAAATGTTCTGATCTCTACATTTTGCCTTCATTGTACAGACCTGTAATTTTTGTTGGCTTCCTCATAAGGCTGAAGAATTTTGATGCATTAGGAATCTAAGAATATGTAATGAACTTACTGTCACTTTGTCTTATTGAAACATTTTTTTTCCCCTCTGCAAAGTGACTGTCAGCACTTACAGTGGACTCTGTGATCACTTCTAGCTTTGAGTGTGATGTTATTCCTTGTTTTTGACAGATCGATCACTTTGGCTTTGATGAAAACCTTACGTTCCAGCAGCGATACCTGATAGCAGATCAGCACTGGAAGAAAGACAATGGACCGATACTGTTCTATACAGGCAATGAAGGAGACATCACGTGGTTCTGCAACAACACAGTATGTATGAAACAGATCCTTGATTTTTGAATTAAGAGTCCTTCTTTCCAGCAGTGGGCTAGTGGAAAAATAAGGAAGGAGGAGGAGGACAATATCAGAACATTATTTAAAGAGAAATTTGCAATGGCTTTATGACAGCTACAGGAGAAAGTAAGCTGAAAAAAGTATAGGACAAGTTTTAGGGGATTTGGGGGTCCTATTTGAACTCCACAGAAATCAAAGGGGAACACTTCCTTGAGCTGTGAAGAAATCTTCTAGGGGAAACACTCTGTGGTGCCTCAGCCGAAGGATGTAAAAGTTTGGACCCATTGCATTAATACCATTACTTCAGAAATGAATGAAATGAGAGGTTTTGATGGTTGTTTTGTGTTTATCTGAGAAAAGTATGAAGTGAGATTCATCTGGCCAGACATCAAGGATAGATGAGATGATGCATGTTCCCTCACAAAATCCATAGAAAAGATTTGCTTTCCTGACAAATGCAGGATGCGGTGTGTGGGCAGTTTTTAGCCACTTCAATACAAAGTCCACTGCCACAACAGAGGTGATGTCCTGGGCCTGAGGGAAGTGAGGGCTGCTTACGCACTGCTTTGTCAGCAGGTGATAGCTGGTGGGTGGTAACATGCTTCTGTCAAAAAGTTATAAGTCGTCCTAATTATTTATTAGTTGAAAATAAGTGTTTCAGTGCTCTAGATTGTTTATTGCCAAACACTTCTTTCTGTAATACAGTCCTAACTCAAATGCATGCTTTTTTCCTGTTGTGTTTTTTGATGTCCTGTGGATTAAGCTTGTTAATCCTGCCATAGGAGTTCTGGCAGGACTGCCCAAGTATACTCACAAAACAACGTTGCTTAATACTTTGCAGCATTTTTTGGTACACTTGCCTTAGCTCAGGGTTTGTCTTCTATATTTTCTTTCTGCAAAGATGCTTTAAAACCAAACTGCAGTCTGCTTTTCTGGTTGTATTTTGATAGTGATATTTTGCTAATCAAAGAATAAGATTTGAGGTACAGTAGATTGAAAGTAAAGACTTTGCAAGTGATTAACTCAATGTGTTTAAATGTGTGTTTTCCCCCAACCAGGGTTTTATGTGGGATGTGGCTGAAGAACTTAATGCCATGTTAGTATTTGCTGAACACAGATATTATGGAGAATCATTGCCATTTGGAAATGAATCTTTCAGTGTAAGTGTCGTCTTTACTTTCTTCTTTACATATGTTCTATATCAAAATAATTCTACCTGTTATACTTGTCAGTGCAATGACTGCTTGCCTGAGTAAGATGTGCTAGAAGCACACAACTATCCTATTTTTATTACTAATTCTAAATGAACAAACAACAAGCTAGAATCTTTTAGCACTTCAAAGGACACCTGTAACAAATGTTTAGTTTATCAGGCAGCTCTCCAACTCAACATCTATTCAGGGGGAGAAAGATTGCTGCTGGATATCACTCCCATGCTGTATGTAACCTGTGTTCTTTGCCTCAGGATTCCAAGCATCTGAACTACCTGACATCAGAACAAGCTCTGGCAGACTTTGCAGTACTAATTGAATACTTAAAGGAGACCATTGCAGGAGCCCGTTACAGTCCTGTCATAGCTATTGGAGGATCTTATGGAGGGATGCTTGCAGCCTGGTTTCGGATGAAATACCCCCATGTGGTGGTTGGGTGAGTGTACTTGTTCTGCTCAAACACCCAGCAGGCATTTGTTGCTTCAGTTCTATAAGTGTTAGCACTGAAGTGCTAACCTTATCCCACTGCACTTGAGTTAGTGGGATAAGGACTGTAATTCAAACCAGCTTGAATTTTTCACTTTTGGGAGGACAGGGTAAGTCACTCTGAATTTGGGACTAGGTGCTGTCTACCAAAAAATGATAGCTGTAGGCCAGCAGGTACAGAATGGTGTGTACTTTCAGAGTATTAAGATCTTTAAGTAATAATTCTGAACACTAACTCTTGCCCTAATTTCTCTAGGGTCACTAAAATTTCTAGTGACTTGTTGCAGGTGTGTAATCTCTTGAGTGCCTTAGTTATTCTCTAGCAAACACAAATAGTAATTTTCTCACCTTTCTCTGCTAGAGAGCAGTTACTTGTGGGCAAGGGCTGTCTTCAGTTGAGTTAGTACAGTGCCTAGTGAGAAAGCTTACTTTATTCTCATGTAACAATCATGTCTGTCTGAACTTATACTCAATGTATTTACTGAGTCTTTGTGCTACTATCCAAAACTTGTAACCTTCAACAGCCTTTGCATACAGGCCTACAGAAGAATTTTGCAACATTCAGGAAGGGGTGAGTGCCTGGCTGAATTATAAATGCTACTTAAACAGTGACTGTAGGGAAAGCGCTGCCCAGAGGATAGAAATTCACTTTGCAGGGGTTCAGGATGCGTATGTTTCTCAAAAAAAAAAAAATCTGTTTCATATCTGTTTGTAGAGCTCTGGCAGCCTCTGCCCCAATCTGGCAGTTTGGTGATTTGGTTCCCTGTGGTGCTTACTTCACTATAGTAACTAATGATTTCAAGAAGAGTGGGACTGGCTGCTCAGAAAGTATCCGCAATTCCTGGAGTGCAATTAACCACCTTTCCTCAACAGGTGAGACCTCACCAATATATGTTTAAAGGGTCATAATGTTCAGGATTATGTTATGACTTCATAAAATCAGTGAGTTTGCATCATAACTTCAGTGTGTAGATGTATTTGTGGTGGTGGGTGGTGATAAGTTTTTGTTAAACCATATTCTCAGTAATAAAACCTGTTAATTATGTTCAGTGTTATTTTATGAATGTCTGTTTTGTTGGATCATGTGCTTTATTCACACGTGGCAGGTCTTGGAATCCAGGGTCAAACACTCCTGAGATCTAATGAGCTAGAACCTCAATGTTTGTATTCCTTTCTGACAAAGTAGAACAGATGTTTTGTTTCTAAAAATTATAAAACAAACAAAAAAATTAACAACCAACTGAGGCAATCAAGTATAGGAAATTCCTACAGTCTTTATAGCACTAGTTTTAGTGCTAAGGTGAATATTTCAGATGAGGTCTCTGGCTTGTGGAAAAAAAAGTATAAAAAAACAAACAACAACAAAAAACAAACAAAAAAAAAACTTGCCACTTCAGCATCCTACAGAGATCCTGGTATGCTGAGTTAACCTGTTCAAGTCAGAGAAGCTGAACTGGAGGGGTTCTAGACCAGATAATATAATGACAGCAAAGGCAAGGAGACTCCTGAGAGATCTGATTGCTTTGAGCTAGCTTGTTTGAAGCTTTTCTCTTTCTGGAAGAAGAGAGCCCTGATGTTTCCTGTCAAAAAGATGCCAAGTGACTTGTACATCCCTTTTTTTAGATAACATTATCATAACGTCCATTCAGGTTATGTTTCCCTTTGCTTAAAGATGCTGACTAAACTTTGATCTGCTCTGCTTGTATACATGTGGGGTAACTTCACTCAGTATAACTGATCTGGTGAAAATACTTAACATAGGTCAGTTGTGCTACTATTAATACATTACTTTTTATTTTTTTATATTAAAGATGCAGGTTTACAATGGCTTTCCAACACATTTCATTTGTGCAGCCCATTAAAAAATCTTCAGGATGCTTCTATGTTGAAAAGCTGGCTGAGTGAAACATGGGTAGACTTGGCTATGGTGGACTATCCCTATAAAGCTGACTTCTTACAGCCTCTGCCAGCTTGGCCTGTACAGGTAATTGAGGACTGTCTTGGAGGATTGATTAAAGCTTGGACTGTTGAAGTCTTTTCCACTTAGTTTAATTCTCTTCTTGCCCGTATCTTTTCTTGTATTTTTGGATCTGTATAGCCAACATGGCTGAAAAAGGGGAATGAGCATCATTCTTGTACATCAGCTGTTTGTTGACTGACACAGGTTGTATCAAGAGCCAAGAATTTTAATTGGGAAATGTAAAGTTTGTTTGCTTGCATTACATGCACTGCACAAATGGAATATGGCTTAATGATAATGCTCAGGATATGTCATCACAGATGCTTTCTGGTGGTGGTTTGGATATACTTTGAAGATGAAACTGATGTCCTGTCAGGTGTTGTGTATTTAACTGTATTTCTTGCTGACTGAGACCCCATCTCTCCTCTTCATTGTAGGAAGTTTGCAAGTTCTTGAAGGATCCCAGTCTCTCTGACAAACTGTTGCTGCAGAATGTTTACCAGGCAGTGAATGTCTACTACAATTATTCAGGGGAAGCTTCATGCTTTGACATGTCTGAGACTGCGACAAAGAATCTTGGTCAGTTGGGTTGGTACTATCAGGTATGTGCTCTATCCTTTCATTTGTAACTCAGTGAGGTTTTTTGGACTAGAGGTGATGGGAATCGCCATGTCAATACGTTGGACCAGATATAAATTGATGGGGCTGTGCTGCACAAGCATCAGTAAGGACTCTGCCTGTTTATACACTGCTTTAAACAGAACCCAGGTCTTTGAAAATAAAAAAGGGTTGGATTTAGAACTGAAAATTAATGGGATTACAATAACATTTCAACACATCAAGGATGTGTCATGTTTTCAGATGTCCTCTAAACAAAATCACAAGCTGTATCTCTTTCTCTGTCTGGTTTAGAACTTGAACTCTTTCTTATGCATGATTTTTATTGTTAGTCCTATAAACAAGCAATCACTGGAAAATAGGGTAACCGGTTGAAATATTGCTACTAATGTTTGCTCTGTAGAAAACATGGGGGTGGGGGGGGGAGGAAATAAGTACTACTATAGTAAAGCAACTTATTTCCTGGTGATAGAGAGCTTGAGGCAAGTATGACTGTAGTGAGAAGGGCAAGGCATGAAAGAGAAGCTACCTTCCCAGGAGGTTTAGGTTGTCTTTGATTGCAGAGTTTCAGTTCTGTACATCCCTTTCTAGTCAACATGAAGAAGCAGCATTTTAGTGTTCTATTCTCCTTGAACTGCACCCTTCAAGCCCACTGTCTGTGCAAATATGTCAGGAGATGTTGATACTGATTTCTTTCAACTAAAGCTATTTATCCTGCAGCTCACTGAGATGCAACCTTTCCCTTCACATGCCACAGGGATCTGTAATTTTGTTAAGGTGTCCAGGGCATTCTGTGCTTCCTGTCTCATTTACTAAGGAAGCACACTTAGCACTTAATGTTCAGCTGCTCTGCTGAGAAGAACTAGCGATGCCAGAAAAAAGGTATAAAAATCAGTGTTCAGGCTGTCACCATCTGCTTATGGCTACTGTCTACTGTTTCTCCTGTGCTCCAGACAGCACCAGATGTGCAGGCTCTGAAGTTACTCTGAGATAGGCAGTGGGGACACCATGTGGGTAACAAAGAATATGGCAGCTGGACTCAAAAATACATCCAATCTGCAGCTTGTTGCAGATGGCGTGCTTCTGAAGGCTTGGAGGGAAAGACACAAGTAGGAATAGACTGAGTTAGCCCCCACCATGGCAATTAATCTATGTGGCTTCCAGGCTACAACTTCTTGTTCTTCCTCTCTAGTATTGCTAAGGTCAGGAAATGGTTCTTGCATGGAAGATGAAGCTTTTGCTTGATACGTGTGTTGTGATATGATTGGTAATTACCAAACTGTTCTGTTTGTGCTTTTTAAATGCTACACACATAGTTATGGGACAGTCTCATGAACGCATCTTGTTGCCCTGCTCTCTTCCAGGTTTGCACAGAGATGGTGATGCCCATGTGTACAGATGGTGTCAATGACATGTTTGAACCTCAGAAATGGGACTTTGATGCACTTTCAGAAGAATGCTTCAGGTTATGGGGAGTGAGACCTCGCCCCTCTTGGGTTCTTTCTATGTACGGAGGGAAGAACATCAGCTCACACAGCAACATCATTTTCAGGTGAGCCTTGTTTTAGAGTTGTCTTCCACCAGTTTGGGCTGTCAGTACTAACTGTGTGGGTCGGCGCAGGCAGCAGGAACAACCACAGACCTATGGCTAAAATGTGGAGAGTAAATTTATTTTTGTTACCTTTCCAAACATGGAAGGTGCACTGAGATACTCCTCTGCTTAGTGACAGCTCTGGGAGGAGGTAAGATGGGGAGTATCAGGGAGCATGAGAGGGAGAGGCTACTAGAATCACTTCCTTTACTCCCTGAGGCAGGCCCAAAAGACCAGTGTAGTCCCAAAGCTGGGGAAAAAAAGGGAAACCTTGAAGAAAATAAATGGCTGACCACAGTGGCCTAAAAGGTAAGGGGCAATGGTGACAAGTTCCTGCCCAGGGCAGCAGGCACATCTCAGTGACTATCCTGCCTTCCCAGATGCCAATGTGCAATAGGTATGAGACTCTGTAAGTGGAACTGAACAATACTGAGGATGACAGTTCATCTTGGCTTGGAGGCCTCATAAAGGTTAAACAGCTTCAGCAAATTAAAAAAGACAGGTCATTGTCATAGGAGACTCCCCTCTGAAGGGAACAGAAGGCCTGATATGCAGGTTGAACACACTTCACAGGGAATTCTGCTGCCTCCCTGGGGTTAAAGATATGAAGAGAAAGCTTCCTACCCTGGTGCAGGCCCATCTGTTACTGTTTTTTTGGGTAGGTAGCAATGAAGTTCCAACATGAAGTCCCAAGGCCCTCTTGCCCTCATGAAACTGGTTTAAGGGATCAGGAGCACAAGTAGTGTTCTCCTCCATTCCTCCAGTTACAGTAAGTGATGAGGAGAGAAACAGGAAGAGCCAGCAGACCAATACCTAGTTCCAGGCCTGGTGTCACTGTCAGAACTTGGTTTTTTTGACCATGGGTCATTCTACATGATACCAGGCCTGCTGACAGCAGATGGGATAGACCTGTCTCCAAGAGGGGAGAAAGAGGGGAGATTTGAAGGGGGAAAATGAGATAAATCCAGACTTGCTAGAAACAAACCTGGTGGGTGACACACCGATGTTTGTGGGACAGTGTGTTAGCAAAGTCCTTTGGTCCCCTTTCCCAGTGGAGGCAGGAGATGGAGAGCCATGTCACAGCAAAGACAAGGGGTATTGATGGGTTAGAAATCACAGAAGTGCCTGAGAATGTTTCTCCCCCACAGGCTGGGGGAGGAGTGGTGGCTGGAAAGCTGCCCTTTGGGAATGGACCTGGAGTAGTAGCTGATGGCCAGCTGAGTAGGAGCCAGCAGTGTGCTCAGGTGCAGCAGCATTCTGGCTTGTACCAGAAAGTGTGGCCAGCAGGACTTTAATTCCTTGTAGTTACGCTGCAGTAATCAACAGATTGTTACTTATCATTATGTCAATGGTACCTTACCATGGCTTTATATCACCTACTATCATTTGGTGGCAAATAGAGACTGTGTTTATATCCCTGAGGCAATATTTGAAAAGTATATTGCTTTTGTTACCAGGTAAGGGCAAACTGGTCTTGGCTTAGTGAAGCAATGGCTATTGAAAAGAAAGCATTAGCAAGATATATCACCACATTCCAGGGCTGTAAATTTTCACTAATTTTGTCTATGAGAGTAATCGTGTCTGGAGACCGTAACTGCAAGTGGAGGGAGTGACTTCGTTCAATTCTCTGTAGTCTGCAATCATCCCCCCAAGTGCTGATTTTTGAACAGGCCAAATAGGACTATTAGAAGCAATCATGGTTTCTTTAACAATTCCCACTTCTTGTGTCTGAATAGTTTGAGTAATTTGAGTAATTCTTGAGTAATGTGATACTGTTTTAGAGTTACCACCTTGGTAGGCATGGGCAGCACAAGAAGATCCCATTTTGGGAATCAATGCAAAGCCATTATAGATGAAATAATAAATCCCCCTTGCAGTGTCCCGAAGCAAAAATGACCATTTAGTTTCAACTGTTTGTCCTGCCAACACATTAATACCACAAGTATATCTGTTAACACTGTTGTGGCAAACAGGGTGGAATTTCCTACTGTTAAACTAACCTTAGCTGGGATGGTGGGGGTGGGATTTCTTCCAATCCACAGATCTGTGACGTAGCTTCTTTACAACTCACATTACTGTGTACTAAAGTAACTTCAGCTCCACTATCCACCGGAGCTAATGCACACAAAATCCCTCAAGACTGCTGCTTTATAGTTGCAGGAATGGAGGGGTGTCAGTCCCCCTTACCTTAGGAAGGTACAGCGGTGGCAATTCTGGGGGACCTGCCAAATTTTCATTTCTACTATTTTGGAATTTGCCAGTATTTGGGTACTTTTAACTCATTCCTCCCACCACTTACTGAGTAGCAAAAGGATCTGTCTCTAGCCTCCCAGCTGAATAAATGATGGGAGTGCTTTGTATTGCTCTTGAGAGTAAAATAGTCAATCTACAGTGGCCAAAGAAGCCAACTGTTCTGTCACTGCCTGGGGAACTCTAAAAGAAGAGTCTGGGCTGGGATTCTGCCAAATGTAATTTTCTTCCCCTGTTGATTCCTTCTTATCTTGTGGCCAAAGTCCAGGTTTCCCATGCTGGTAAATCTGCCTAGCTTTTAAGAAGCCAAAGCACAGTCTCTTCCACATAAAAGGAAAGTCTAATCAAGCTCTAGATATAACACAGGATCTTGGTCACTGAAGTTGTTGCTGTGGGTGATAGCCTTGTGGAAGGCTGGTGTGATGTTCCCCTTTCTCTTTGATTTCAAGTTTGTCTGAAAGTCTGAAAATGTTTTTAAATGGACAAAATGTAAAATGTTTGTCTAGTACAAAAACTAGTCAATGCTGTTTGCTGTCTACTCAAAACCATTACTTATTTTTAAGGTTAAACTCTGCTCAGCTTTCTATAATGGAAGGTTTATACAGTTATACGTCTGCTGTGAGGCGATGCTTATTTTGAACAGCTTAATACTGGCTGTTTGTGATGCTGTTATGTGGTAGAGAGGCTTTTAATAAATGCAGTCAAAGCCTGTGCCCTCAGGAGTTCTGACTCTGTACTGATTGCCCATGGCAGGCAGCTCCTGGATATATTCCTCTGTGCTCTGCCTCACATTGTGCAAGGCCTTTTCAGAGAAAAACACATAAAACGAAAATCAGAATTAGTCTGTTGGACTTGGTAAACAGCTGTGTATTTTAAAGTAAGAGTCCTCAGTGGAATTAGGGATTAGTCTCTGGATCTGTTAACGTTGGTCTGTCTGGCTCCAAAAGCCTGTTGCTTTCCTCTCGTTTGATTCTTACTGTTTCTGTACCAGCAGGATATATTCTCTAGAGTGAGGAAAAAAATTGCCAAAAAGGGTAGAATTTCTCTTTAGGTCATTTTTCTCTATTTTTAACTAATTTAACTTTTGCAGTGTTTATTTCCTAGGCTTTACAGATCTGTACAGCAGAAATTGGCTTTGTAAGCGATAGACAAGCAAACAAATTTAGTGGTTAAGAATTCATGCTAGCCAAAGGAGGTTGAAATGAGAAAAGTTTGAAAACAACCAACTGAATGAAAAAGTAGTGCTGTACACACAAAGCTTTGGATCTCAAGCTGGGTTGTTTCTCTTCAAGCAAACACATTGTCATCACAGTACATTTTATATAAGAGCCTTTTATCCCCAAACACCACAGTGCTTTACCAAAAAAAAAAAAAGGCAAAAAAACCACCCTATGTCTACCAGAGGATGAGCCTCCTTGTGGGGTAAAAAGCACTGCATTAATGTTGAGGAACTTGCTGCACAGCAGTTTCCCACAGGAAGGGAAGAATACTGCATCTCAACAGAACCACTCCGGGGTGGATTTATCTGCAGTGGCATTTGCTTAGGATACTCCAGCTCTTGTTGCTGTTCCTCCCTCCAGGAGCAATGCATCTCTCTGCAGACCCGTGGTGAGGTCTAGGCATTGCACCTCTTCAGTACCTTCTTGGAGACACCTTACTGAGCTTTTCTTAGCATGTGAGTGCTTAATTAAGCTGTAGACAGATACTGCTTGCCTATCCTGGGCAGAACATTTTTATTAAAACATTGGTTTGAGGAGATGGGATTTTCAGAACTCCCATTTCTTCTCCAGCAGCTTCTACTCCTGATGCTCTTAGCGGCACATGCTTGGTGTGGAAATGCTGCAGAGCAGGGGAAATGATGCTTTAATGCCCTCTGTGCTTGTAGTGGCAGAGAGCTTGGAGCAGTTGGTAGCATCTCATCAATAACCAGTGGTAGTCAAAATTGGCCCAGGTGTGAATGGGAATTTGATTTGAGATCACAAACTCTGGTAGAAACAGACTTTTTCTTTTAGGGAGGTTTAGAAAATTTTCTGTGCTATAGCCTTGGAAAGTGACAGGTTTAATGTATTTAGATGAACTGGGCTTGCATTTCTTGTACCTTGCATTCAGAAACACCCCAACTTTTATCAAATACTACAGACTTATGTACAGTCTAAAAACTCATTTTTTTCAATCTGCAGATCATACTTGGGCTTGTAGACTTTGAAATTGAGGTGCCCACCTATCCAGTTCTGTACTGGAGAGGGAAAGGCAGAAAGTGAGGTCTCTGTTTTGAGAGATGCTAGAGCTGTTTGCAGAAGAAGCACTTTTTTGAGGGGAAAAAAAAATCAGAAAAAAGGCAAAATGTCTGGCTGAAGACAAAGGTGAGAAAGGTTCAGAAAACAGAACCATGGTGGATGTACATATTAAAGAAATGCACAAACAGTGCTGATTGTGCAATACCTCTCTGGTGCTGGGTAGAGCTGGAGGGCTGAGGAGGCTCTAAAGAGATGATCAGAAAGGAGACTTCTTGCTGGGGGATATGTGGGACCCTGTTTATGCTCTCAGGAAAGTATGATGAATTGAAAACAGGACCAGTGTGCTGATATTTTGCATTGAAATGTATCATTCTGAAGCTGTTCTTGCCTGACCACTGCTAGAAAGGAAATGTTGAATTCTTTTTCTACTTCTGAATACATCAGGAAACTTCTGTCTTGCGAGATGGGCAACTGATTACTCACTTGCATTTTTAACTTTAACATATAAATAATCCATTCCAGTTGGTACTGAATTACATTGTCCTGTAAGACTTTAAGCCTCAGGATGACTTTGGGGTGAGCCCTGCATTCCCCCTCCCCTCAGCAAGTATCACTTTTCAAAGTGCGTCAGTGCCTCTGTTGCCATCGTTTGGCAGGAACTGCTGAGGATGCAGCCAGCAGCTCCTAAAAAAGCCAGAGATTGTTTTCTTGCAGCATGCTTAGTTTCCACATGACTGGGACCAAAAGATCCAAGTCCATGCACATCTTGGGTCTCTCAGCAACTCATCCCCCTGTTGCCAAGGTGCTCTGCTGATTCAGACGACCTTTTAAATCAAATGCTTTATAGTTATTGGGCAGCTGTGTATGCTTCTTGTTTTGCAGTTACAAAATGTTTCTCTTACTTGCAGCCATATTTAGAACCACTGAAAAATAAGACCTGTGAAGATTCAAGCTTCTTGTTTTATTCATTGGAGAAGCAAACGAACTATTAGACTCGATCAGACTTTTACTTAGTATTTCTACAAACACTTTTTTCACTTGTTTTGTCTGTGATTTGCAGTGCTACCACTGTAGTGTTTTTCTAGCTGTGTATAGCTGTGTCCCAGGGTGTTTTGATTTCTTAGATCCTTCTGGAAACTGGCATACAGTAGCCTATACTTAATGTTTCCTTCTGTGAGCAGGTCAGTGTGTTATGCGAGGAACCGTTCTAGGTTTGTGTATAGTTTCCTAAGTACACAGAAGTTGCTTTCTTCGTGCAGAAAGATGGGCTGCACATGAGGAAGAACTCTGAAATAAAGGAAAATAAGAGGTGGTAGGGATTACTGGGCTAAGTCCAGAGGTAGGGGAAAAAAAAAGATGCAAATCTATTCCCAGTTCAACCATTGGCTTGCTCCGTAGAACAGGCACCATATGGAACCAGGTCTTCACTGCCAGAAATGCTTTCATGGACCTGGGGATGAGGAGTAAATTGCATCAGGTTCTTTCCGTCACAGAGAAAGTTGTTGGAGACAGAATTTTGTGGGATAAATGTTATATAGTAATTTGGTTATTAGCAATAAAGTGAGTAATGAAAGGTCCAAGAATTTCTCTACAGAAAGAGTTTGGTACCTAGCTGAGAACAAAAGGTAGAAGTTCCTGAAAGTTGAAAATTCTGCTCTGAAGGGTTGGTTATTAGCTTACAGCAGATTGTGAAGAAGGAAAGCAAAAAGCTTTGATTTGGGAACTGAGCATGTCTTCCTACAGGGGACCTGGACCTTTTCATGACAAAGATTGGTAGCTGTAGGTGTACATGTATATCTCCAGAGGCTGTGACACTATTAGAGGTTATTACTGGAATCAGCAGATGACTGGTGATGGCAGCATAGCCTTGTTCAAGCTACTCATAGCTGTGTAACTGGCAAGAGGGCCTCTGAAGAGAGGTGGGCATGGGGCTTGGAGGCAAGGCTGAGGTCTGTTCCTGTTAGTATGTATGGTTGAAAGTCAGCATGGATGGATTGCTGACTTCTGTGCAAATATACCCTAATGAAGCATGGTTTCCTTACAGCAATGGTGGCCTGGATCCATGGTCTGCAGGTGGGGTGACCCAGAACATCAGCGATTCCCTTGTGGCTATCATGATCCCAGATGGAGCTCATCACCTGGACCTGCGCAGCCGCAACCCTTGTGACCCCAAATCTGTGAAGCAAGCTCGGGTCTTGGAAGTCCACTACATGAAGCAGTGGATTGAAAAGGCCAGGCGCGAGCACTGAAGTGGTACTGTGACAATTGTGGCCTTTATACCTCTGCTGGCTTTGCTGGGGGCAGGGCCAGGCCTTATCGCAGACACTCAAAACATTTCACTCCCGCTTCCTCATCCGTGCTGCAGCGCTGGCCATTGCTTGTGCCCATGGGAGAAGCAGGCAGTAGACAGATGGGAGGGCGTTATCAGAGAACAACCTTTAGTGGATAAAGTTCATGGATTGAGCTGCCTGCTGTGCCTTGCTTTCCTCTTCTGTTCTTCCCAAATGCTGTACCTTAGGGTAGAGTGCCTCTTCTAGGCTTGATGCCTTCCTTGCTCGCTAGGTTACTGTCCTGACTGCTGGTGTATAGAATGGATTAAATGACAGTGCTGTTTACGCTGATGGTCGAACTCCCACTGCATTCAGTGGTATTAAATTTTGGACATCCTCTGCTGGTGTAAATTGTCATGGCAGGGGCACAGAGAGAACGAGGGAACAGAAGTCACATCTTGCTGTGATGTTCGCTGGAGAGGTAGTGAAGGCATGGATGAAAACCGGCTGTGCAGTTTGTAAGGAAACTGAACAGCCCCTACCCTTTGGAATCAGTGCTGGAAAATAAATATTTTAATTTTCTGGCAGTTTACTAATCAAAGCTGCCTTTGGTAGCTTTTCCATTCTGTGCCGTGTTGAACGGTCAGGGCTGGGCCCAGACTGCCTCTGCCGATAACTGGCTGAGCCTGCACAGTCTGTATCAGGGTTTTATTTCTTCCTTTGCTGTTCGTCCTAATCCTGGAATATCTGCCACTGTGATAACAGTTGCCAAAGAATAAACTTTGTGTATTTTGTATGTGTGTGTCCCACAACCATTTAGCTTTTTTCAAATCAGGAAGCTTTTGAAGCTATTCTCTTGAAGATCAAATGTGACACTTACGCTGGCCAGATCTTATGAAGTGACAAATAATTGGGGCTGTGCCTTGTGTGGGTTTCCCCCTCCCCCCCATTCTGTGTATTGTTCAAATTCTGCATGATCTGTTTGCTGATGGCTCTTCAATAAAAGCTTTTTTTTAAAAAAAAAAAAAAAAAAAAAAATGTTTGCAGGACAAACTATTCAAAACACAGAATGCAACTATCCTCTTGGAGCAGCCTAAAGCATGATGCTGAGCTCAACAAGCCAGGTGCACTGGGCTTTCTGTAAGGCTTCCAAAACAGACAAACTGCCCTGATTCATGAGACAGCATATTTGACATTAATAAATGGCTGGGGCAGTCCCCTCGTTTTCCAGCTTTGGCTTCATTCACACTGGAGCCCTTCTTCAGAAAGGCTTCTTTGCGGTTTAAAGGACAACGCCATTTCAGAAAGACTCGGGCAAGGCTTGTTGTCCCCAGGCTCTTAAAATTCCAACTCTGTTGAAAAGTTTTCTCAGCTTTGATGATGTGCCTGATGGTTGAGTATTTTCTGAAGACACCAGGTGGCCTTTTCTGTTTCTAGTCTCCTCTCACCCTTTGGGAACAAACCAAACCCAACACCGAAATCTTATATTTGCATACACTCTTGGGCATCTTCTCTTCCCAACAGAGTTCCTGGCATTCCCTCATCTTGCTCTAATGTGTTAAAAGCAGTGTTTATGTTCAGGTTTGCTGAATCTGAACTTTTAACGCTCTGTCTTGAGCAAGGTAATTACTTCAGAGAATACGGAGAGCAAGATGAGAGAAGGACAACGGGGGAAGAGGAAGAGCTATGTAAGAACTTGCTTGAAACCTGTTGGCTTGAAAACTTTTGGTAATCTATGTTCTAGTAAGTCCTTTTTTTTTTGGTACTGTGATGTAAATGTATGCCAGTCTCTTGCGTACTTTGCAATGACATTGTGGCCTTGAATTTTTTTGTCAATTTAATTTTTGACAAATTAAATGTTTATGAAAAAATGAGCTACAGTCAAGTTCTTAAAAACACCATTGTACCTGTATGTGTTAATTAATGCATAGTAACAGTTAACTGAAAGGCAAGGAATGGAATTTACAAGGGTAGACATAAATCTGGGAGTTACAGATGGTTTGAAAATGGGCAAGCAAGAGCCTGGTCTAACTGCTCCCACTGACTGCTCTGAGTGCCAGTTCTGGGATAAACTCATATGTTGAGTGGAGAAGGATGTGGGGATATTCATGCAGTGGGCTGTGAACAGCCAAATTAACAGCCATTGTCTGTCTTAATCAGCTCATGTCTCCGCCTCCTCTCTTTCCCTTGCTAGCAACTTATTGTCTCAGGAAACAATTTGTTGTTTGTTGTTTGGAAAACACTTCATAGTTTCAATCAGAATAAGTAAATTAAGCTTTCATTCCTCCTTCCATAAGCAGAAAAATGTGCCTTCAGGGAAACTTCTCTTAAAAAAAATAAATCAAAAAAACCCTGCTGCCTTGAATTGTGAGAAGTTACATTTAAAGCCAAAAATTGTTTATTTTTTGTCCATTTTCCCCCTAAATCTTACTATCCACTCAGCTTTGGTCTGAGATGGTCTGATTCCAGTGCACTTTGGATCAGGTTTTTACTGCTTGGACCAGTTTATGAATTAGGTGACTGACTTCCTGCTTTTATTAATCATTCTTCATTTTTACTTTTTTTTTTCCTTGAGTAGTTGAAACCTTAAGGGTATTATAACAACCAGTCAGACCTCATCTGAAGAACTATGCACACTTCTATGTGTGCTAGTGAGGGACTGTATATGTTTAACTACCTCATCTAAATGTTAGCTTTCCTGCTTGTGAAATGCAGGTGAGAACAAAATGGGCCTTAGGAAATTGCTGATTTCTTTTTCCAGGCATGTGGTGATGGGCCGTACTTCGTCTCAGGCTTATTGGTATACTTTGTCTCAGGCACTTGGCTTTGAATGTTTTGAATTTAAAATTTATGTTTCCTGCTGATTTAGGAAAATTAAAAAAAAAAAAAAAAAAAAAAAGATTTATCCAAAGCATGAATCTTGCTGGTGAAGTTGCAGTTTGTATCAATAAAAATACATTTAAAAAAAATCAAATGTGAGTTTCTGGGATTGGCTTTTATTTTGCAAGGACATAAACTTTTGTCTCGTGGCAGATTTGGAGCTCTGTAAATACATGTTTGTGTTTGTGCTCAACTGGGATGGAGCGGCAGGAAAGCAGTAGTTAAGGAAATCACCAAGCTACACACACAGCAGTCAGGATGTTAGCTGTTAACAAAAATAAACTGTTTTAGTTTTGGAAGCTTATTTCAGTCCCAACCAAGTAAGTGCTTCCCACGTGCCAGCGATGATGAGTGTCAGACAGCGGGGCCAAGGCATTTGCTGGGCTGGACGGGGCTGTGCAGTTCACGGAGATCATTGGGGAGGCTGAGGCTGCAGTGTCTTGGGAGGTGCTAAGTGCCTTTTGGCCACTACATGTTGTGTTTGTAGGTAATTTCAGCTTTGAAGATAAATATTGTGTCATCAAAGGAAGCTATAGAAAGGAAAGCCCCTTCGGGAACCGGGATTGCAATTTCTGTATCGGAAGAAAAGTGTACACAAAGTGTTAATGCAGGGCAAGTTTTGCTTCCCAGGCTAGCTGTGCATCAGCTATGTTACAGATAAATGTCAATGTGCTTTACTTAAATGGATTTTTTTCTATTTCTGCTTTTAAAAAGACTATTTTGTGGTTTGAACCTAACCTCTAAATGAATCAAAAGGAGTCATCGATGACCTAGAGAGCTTTCTGTACCTCACAGACCTGCTTCCTGACAGATACGTTAGCACCTTCCAGGACTAGTGGTGGGATCGTTGTCTGTCTGACAGTGAGGAGGGTGGCATCAGTCCCATGAACACAGGGTTGGGAGAGAACATGAGGAACCACATACTACGAGACTACCTCAAGGAAGGACCCCCTAAGGTGCCTTAAATGTTCTTGATAGGCAGTGGGTGCCAGTTTTTTCTCTTCCCTGTCGAGCCAGGAGTGTATCACTGCTGTGCTGTCCTCAGCCACTGTAAGAGGTGGCACATGTTTGTGACAGCAAGCATGTAGGAGAAACTTCCAACTACCATAAAAAATACATTAAAAACATTTTTTAAAGATACCATCTGAAACTGCTTAGACTGATGGCATTTGCACTCAGTCTTGACTAGCTGAAGGAATTAACCGTACTAAAAGACTGCAGTGGGGGGAGATCTGTGCTGCTGGAACAACAGAGTAGGTGCTCGCAGAGCTGAGCGAGCAACACATTTGTCATTTTCCTTAAAATGCACTGCTGAACAGCTGCTCCTTAAAATATAAATCTTTCTGGAGCTGAAACTATGTATGTGATTTTTACTGCCTAAAAGCAGTTTATAAATGGTCATTGGAGGAATTTGTTTGAAACCCATTGTGCTTCCATCTCTGTCATTTGCGGCAACTGCCATCTGTTTAGCGTGTTACTACTTGTTTTAATATTTTGAAAATCTTTCCCTGTATGTTTTTAAATCACAACCTTAGTTTTACAAAAATAACTGCTCACAAATCCAGCTTCTTTAAGACTGTCATTGTTAAACAAATAAAATAGTCTGTTTTGGCAATGCAGGTTCACAGAAAACGTGTGTTACCTTGTGTTACCCGAGCAGTAAGGCAACAGCAAAAGGTCGGAACTGAGGATACCTGGGATAAACATTTTATCATTTTATCATCTGGGACAACTATTTTATCATTTTAAAGATGCTGAGCGTCTGCTTGCAACTTCCACTGAAATGAGTGACCTGCGCTCCTGCATCATTCTGGTTCCTCGATTTCACTGCCTCTAGGTGCTGAGACGTGAGCCTATGCGCCCCGAGTCAGCCTTTCCTTTTTCCCCAGCCCGTCTCGTTATCAACATCAAATCTGAAATTGCTCCTTGTGCTTTAGAGCCATTCCTTGCAGTAGGATGAGTGAAGAATTTGCTGGTTGTAGCATGAGTTCTGCTGCCATCAGCTGACTGTAGGGCTCATCTGAGGGAGCCCAAATTCCCCAAATTTGCCTGGCCAAGCGGGGACCTGCTCTGTCCCCTCTGCAGCCTTGTGCTTGGGATCCCCACCTGTCCCAGGGCACGATGCAGGGACTGCAAACACCCACAGCAGCAAAGAGCAGGAACCTGGCCCTTACTTGTGCTCCCCAAGGCAGTCACCTCTTTTTTTGGGTGCCCAGGAAAATCAGCAGGCTGTTGGGGTGCTCTGGTCATGAGGCGTGGGCATCCCTGCAGTGGGAAATGTGCTCTCCGTGGCTCTCCGTGCGGTAGCGGGGTGTTCCCTCGGCGGGGAGCAAGTGCTCCTTGGGGAGCGCTGACGATCTGCACAATCTTTTAGCTCAATCCCCTGGTTTAGAAAGCAAGGGCAGCGAAACACTACGAGGGGGGATAGCAAATCCCTTCCGTTTGTCTTGTTGTTTTCTAATGTATGCGACCTCTCTGGGTGGTTTAAGCGGTTTAGGTACTTTCTATAAAGGGGATCTTTTAATGACAAAACTAATGTGATTATCTTACCGAGTGTGAGAGGCGTATTCAAGGTTTAAAGAAAATCTGTTAGAATAGCTGAATGTATCTGCTTAATCCTTTCTCTAATGTGGGTGGACAATGCTCTGGGAAGCAATTGGTCTTTCTTTCTTGAGTAAATGCCTGGTCTCCAGAGGTAGGAACTGTTTGCAGCTTTTTATACCCTTACGCTTCACCTTCTAGAGAACACAAAGGCACAGGAGAGAGGCAGGGAGCTGTGAGAGGCCAAGATTTTCCTCAAATAGCTGGGGGTGTAACCAGCCCTGGGCCCATCCTGCAGGCTGCTGAGCACCCTCCACTCCCTTTGACTGCGATGTGAATGTGGGGCTCTCCTTTTTCTGTCCTTAAAAACCATGTCCCCACAACACGACATGCAGAAGCACTGTCCCCTTTCTGGGTCTGTGTGCCAGCAACACAACACTTCCCACGCAGACCCACTGGCTTTTGGGGAATTCTCCAAGGGGCACGTTTTCTACATCAACCCTTTGGAAAGTTCGTACCCACACAAGGAGAGGTGCTGCGGGATGCAGGATGCTCTCAGCTGGCACCAGCCTGGCATCGCTCAGCTGCTCTGCTGTCTGAAGGGTTGTGGATGTGGATCTGTGATCTCCCTGCATCCATCTGTGTGCACAGATCTCTGAAACGTTAGGCAATCCTGTTGTCTGCAGTGGTTAGCAAGATACACAGAACCCCCCTCACCTTGCTGAAGTATTTACCAAAGCAAGTGTTTGCTCTGGGGCTGTTCAGTACATAGATTTGGCCGTATAGCAGGGGCAAACAGGTTGTATTTTGTAACTAGTTATCCAAACACTCTCAAAACAGCACATAAGGAGAAAAAGCATGCTGAGCTGCTGCCCTTTTCTGCTGGAGTGAAACGAGCTGCCTCCTTTGGCCACCCACTGCAGAAACAGTTCTTTAAACTACAAGAGGGTAGGTTTAGGTTAGATATTTGGAAGAAATTCTTCACTCAGAGGGTGGTGAGGCCCTGGCACAGGCTGCCCAGAGGAGCTGTGGATGCCCCATCCCTGGAGGTGTTCAAGGCCAGGCTGGATGGGGCTTTGGGCAACCTGGTCTGGTGGGAGGTGTCCCTGCCCATGGCAGGGGGTTGGAATTTGGTGATCTTTGAAGTCCCCTCCAAACCAAACCACTTTGTGATTCTATGATCATGTGAAATACAGAGAAAAGAGGTGCCTCAAAATTGGTGTGGCCTCTTTGTGGAGATGGGCACCGAGCTAACCCTGCTTGCTTGTCTGTCTACTCCAGGCTGCGGAGTTGCGCTGGGTTCTCTGCAGTGGAGAGAAACGGCGTGCAAGGGCTCAGTGCAGAGTCTACGAACCAGTCCCAGCTTCTATCATGGAGGGAATTTTCTCAAGGATGGAAGAGCAGAGGCCTTGGCATCTCCCCAGCAGGCTGCTGCATGGTCAGCAATTGCAGGAAGGTTCAGGTTGGAGGGGCCTTGGGAGGTCTCTGGCCCAACGTCCTGCTCGCTGCAGGGTCAGCTGTGGGGTCAGACCAGGCTGCTCAGGGATGTCTCCAGCTGGCTCCTGGAAGCCTCCGAGGAAGTAACTTGTGCAGCCTCTACAGGCAACCTCCTGCACTGCCCACATGGTGGAAAAGTGTCTCATCTAGTCTGAATTTCTTGTTTCAGTTTACGTGTCTTGTCTCTTATCCCCCTGCCATGCACCAGAGCCTGGCCCTGTGTCCTTGATGACCCCTGTAGGCACTAGGGGTTGCTGTTAGGTGCCCCCAGATCTGTCTCTTCTGCAGGCTGAGCAAGCCCAGCTCCCCCATCCTCTCACAGAACAAGTGCTCCAGCCCTGACCATCCTGGTAGCCTCACCTGAACTCACTCCAATCCATCGATGTCTTTCTTCTAGTGGGAGATCCCAAAGCAGATGC